TATTGTGGATTACAGTACGCGGAATACATTAATGGAATAATCTTCCGACCACACAAACTAACCCACAAACTGAACCCATTTGGCTTGTTAAGTGTACACATCCAAAATCAATTTACAACCATTTAACTGAGCTCAGGGGGGTGCAGATGAGGAGAGGTTCTCGCCTCACAAAACAACAACAAAAAAAAGAAAAACACAAACACATAAATAAAAGCAAAAGAAGAAAAAATACAAACTTGTTATAAATGTGCGGCGCTTGCAGCCATGCTGACCTCCGAGCGCCGAACAAAAAACCAACAACGGACAAGCAGACGCCCACTCAAAAGTCAATACCATGCGTGCCTCCTCTTCCTCTTGTATGGTTAATGCATGATGCCAGGTAGGGCAGACAGACGGAGAACAGGATCTCATTATGCGCTGCGTGCTATCATTAGCTATGTACCACATGTGTCCGTCCTGCCAGCAGAGCCATGCAAGCAACATCCTGATGCTCTTGCCTGCTTCCTGTGGGGAAACTTGGCCAACACACACAACCTAATCACACGTATACACACACACACACACACACACACACATCACTCTCCCAGAAAATCATGAAATGTTCAAACTTGAAAACAAGGAGAATGTTTAGGATGTTTTCTGCTAAAAACTTTAAGTTCACGTTTCTTTGTCAGACAAAGCGATTAAAAAGTTGATCCTGAATTTTTTGTTGCGGCTGCAGTTCAAGATGAGGCGAAGTGAACTGAAAAACGCGGTTTAGGCGTAAAAAGCTGCACAAACATAATAAATAATAATAATAAAACTAAGGTTTTAAAGTGGTTTTAGGTGCAACTCGTCGTCGATGTGTGCAGACTTCAGACGGATGACATGCACAACGGTCAAAGGGTGACGAGAACCGTGATCATCTCAACTCCGTATGGCGGTTGGATGTTTCTCTGCTTCAGTGATCCTGTGCTCAAGGATTTTCATTTAGGGCAAACTAATTAAAAATATATCACTTATTAGACACTAATAACATTTTTTGAACAGATTTTAAACCATAATTTTTCAGTAAGTACCCTATAAATGCTCTAAAGATCGTTCGTGGTCTAAGATCGCCATATCGCCCGCCTATAGGGGACAGCTGAAGTAGTTCTAATAATAATAATAATAATTTAACGATTTAGGGGGAATGTTGAGTTCTTATCCAGCGTTGATCGTGGAAATGAGGCAGATTTGCTGCCTTTTTTTTTCCTTTTCTTGTAAAAATTAAACAAATAGTAAAAATCTGAGGTTACGGAATTGGGTGGTCAAGCTCTTGACAAAAACAAATAATTTTATAAACACACACACACACACACACATATTACATATATATAATAGTGATCACCCTACAGTGGACTTCTTGGAAACCTTTAAACTGAACACATGGGAGTCGATCAGAAAACCAGTGGTGTCCTATACTCCCAGTTTCGCCTACATCTGCAGGGCCACCGGTGGCACACGCCCAGCCACTCAACATCCTTTGTGTCCAACCGCTGGCAGCCGTCCAAGAGCAAACGCAAATTCACTCCCACACCCAATGAGCCTATGTTCATTAAGATGCACGCACACCTTTGCCGTCTTGCGGGCGAAAAAGAAAAAGAGCCCCAACTTACTTTACTGTTAGAGTCCTCGCTAATCAAGACGTTACACTGGCAATGGGGGGGGGGGGGGGGGGGGGTGGAGGGAAAGGGGGGGGGCACCAGACGGCCACCATCTCTCCGAGGCTCGCTGCTCATCAGATCACTCAGCCGTCGAGCCAGAGCCGCAAAGAAGCGCAGCGGAGATTACAGCCATCTCCCTTCTTCTAGTCTCTTCCTGTGGGGCCCTCGGTTTCAAAAATATGAAATAAAATAAAAAATCCTCTCCACGGCCTCCTCCGCCGCTGAGAAAGATGACCGGCGAGCTCTTACGCATATCAATGGGCAATTTAACTTAAGACTTCCATGGCAATAACCTAATTAGAAACGGCTCCTTGTCATTTGAAGGCACAATGTAAAGGATGAAGCTGTAGGCCGCCATGTCTATTGAAGACTAATAGCGTGAAATATTCTAATGTGCAAGACTTTTCCCCTCTTTTTTAATACGTCCTTAGCATATTTAACACGAGCCGAGCGTTTAATATCTGCCGGAGAACCCGGGCCCTGGGTGGTGCAGATTGCTGGTACAGAGTACAGAGAGGTGAGCAGGGGTCTGTTTAAAATGCAGAGAAGAGGGCAGCAGATTGCAAACGAAGGTAGGAGGGAGTAAAAGTATAAAATATCCACAGCTTTGATTTGATTAAAAAAAAAACAGCCGGAATGAAGCATTACATAAAACATTAGACTTCAAATATTTCAGAGGGATCCGGAGTTCAAAGAAAGGGAGATAAGGCTTTTAATGCTGGAAATTAACATGGAAATAAATCTTGTACTTAAGAAGAAAAAAAAAAAAGCTTAAAAAAATCTCGTGACACTGATCTTAGATCAGTTCTGGCTCAATGGGATCTCAGCTGTTGCGGGAACCTTAGCTGACCTCCCAGCTGCTGATTTCTGTTCGCTTGTTTTCATCCTGCTCTCTCGCGTTCAACAACTCGTCTGAAACGGATTTTTAAATATCAGAATATTTCTGTCGGGACGCGGTTTCTCCAGGTACGTCTGTAGGAGGTCACGGGAGCACCAACGGTACGGCGCACGTGTTATTTAGTCCGACTTTCACAAAAGCCCAACCAAGTCTCTGTTATCCATTTAAGGTCACGGTCAGTCTGACGCCACCATGACAGTATTATTTAATCCTGGTGTTTGACTTGTGGAGAGGCCTCTGATTTAAGTACTTCCATCAGACTTTGACCTGAGAGAACGAGGCGTGAGGACGGCAGGGATCGGCGCGCAGGGAAAGGACCACTGAAAAAGGTTTTAGTTGCAGCACGAAGAAGAAAAAAAAAGGATTTCATCAACCAGCGACTGCTGTGACAAACAAACCCCCACAGGAAACTAAATCAAATGCAGCCAGTGTAGCAGGGAGAGAGGATCACGGTGTCAAGGATTTTCAGGAATTGGCGCCCGCTCATCTGCGGAGAAACGCAGGCAGCGGCGCTACCGACAGCTGCTTGCCATCTCTGGGAAGAAGAACTTAGATCAGCGAGGAGGAGGAGGAGGAATGGGAGGTGGTGGGGTGGGGGTGGTGGGGGGGGGGAGGTAACCGCAAGATGCAGGGAACAACGCACAAAGACTACACGGGCTCGGTGCAGTTAGCTGACACAAAAGCCCCAGCGCCGTCTTCTGGGATGGACAGAGGGAAGGGGAGAGTGGACGGAGAGCGAGGAGACAAGACAGGCTGATGCGCTGTCGAGCAAACATGGAGGAAAGAGGGGGAGGAGGGGGGAGTGTGGAGGAGAGTGAAACAGACAGACAGCTCCGAGAGGGATTTGTTCCATTTGCATGTGCCGGGGCTCCCATGGGGGTCCGGCTCGGCGAGCCGGGAGCACAAAAGATAACACTTAACATATTTGCTAAAAGATGACAACCCTGCCTGGGTCTCGTTTGAAGAGGGCCTTTGTCAGGACGCTCCGACAGGAGGGATCCACTGATGTGGACGTGCTGCGAACTAACAAATGTTGTTTTTGTAATAATACTTCCTCTGCGTGTCGAAAACCCAAACAGCATTTCTCCGGGACTAGCACAAGTCCCACAGGGCGCGAGCTAGATGGCACGCCACCGGCTCCGCAACAGTAAAACAGCTTTTAATGGTAAACATTACGGAGTGATGGAAAGTGTCAGGATAATTTATTTATACAGCCCCGTTGGGAGTAGCCAAGCCACCCTCGCTGCTCCCCGGCTCTCTCGGTGTTCATTTGAAGGTCTGCATTTAGATAAATACAGGCCGAGTAAAGGGGAGCCGACTCGTAAAGCACTTTTTCTTCCACCCCTATTATCTCTCCTCTATCTGTCCCCATTAGCTGTATGGGCACCGAAGGGGGGTCCCGGAGAGGCGTGAGGCAACACGTTGTGTGTATAATTTGGTCGATTAGAGAGTTAGAGAATTAATGCAAGATTATTTACGTAAAGCTGCAAAAACACCAATATTGGCTCATCATCCTCGGCTCCATCTCACCTGTTTGCTAGACGAAGCTGCACCGTTTAAACCGGCAGATCCTAACTGTGTTTTTATAATAAAACACAAACCTGCCATGTTGTTAACAAAAGATCCGAGTTTAACGTTAGTGCAAGACACGGATGAAAGCGTGCAAATAAAAACAGAAGAGTGTAAATAAATGAAAGTGTGTGTGTGTGAAGGTATGGAGAGATCAAAAGGTGAAAGGTCGAGTTCTTGCTAATAGCTCCAGCGAAGACTCTAAAACCTGCAATTAAAAGCTTTAACATATTTTATAATTTTGTTGTCTCGAGCTGTTTGTAAATGTCTCCGTCTCCATCATCAATCCTCCAATCAGGAATCATCACTGAGCCGGTGTTTCTATGCAATCAAATCATCACATCTATACAACTCCAGATCTGACTGAGGCCTTTCACTCCTAATAAAATAATTAATCTAATTTTCCTGATTAAAAAAAAGAAAAGAAACAAAAACACTTTTGCACAGGTGTGTGGATCATTAAAGTTCAAGAACATTATTTAATATATTTGGGAATTACAAAACCTAATTAGGATTCGTGAAAACGAAGCCATCTGTAATTTAAGAGCAGCACGTTTACTGAAATATTAATCACCAGATTGTGTGGGGCAGATTGACGTTTTTTTTGGTGTATGGCCAAAAATATGTCTAACAAATGAGAAATAATAAACCACAACTAATTGTTGCTAATTACGCTATAAATGAATTTAAAAAGTGGCACCGGCTGGTGAGGTGACATCATTTTAAAGCCAACAGCAGAAAATTAAATAGCGTGAATAAAGTGTGCAGGTGAATATAATCTTATAATGAATAATGAGCGTGAATAAAGTGTGCAGGTGAATATAATCTTATAATGAATAATGGCTTACCATAGACGCTGCTGCTGCTGATCATGTCGTGCTGCAGGAGGAGAAAACTAGAATTAAATCACAATAACAGCAGGCATGTGGCCGCTGGCCGAGCAGCGGTCGACCATCAGCTGGTGGAGGTAACGCGGCTCGTGACGCCGGTGCTCCAGCCTCGCTGCGGCGGGGACACCGGGACAACTTGTCGCCGCCCGCCGCCGGTGAAACCTCCGCGCCCGCTACAAGTTGCGTATTTATTTGAATGTTTTCGGTCCGTGCGCGAGACGGCCGAACCACAACACAGAGCCGAGCTTATTCGGCCGCCGCGCAGGTGCGCCGGGTTGAAAACAGCACGGGAAGCGTGATGATAATAAAATATCCGACAGCGAGAGGAAACTTCTCAACCCGCGCGTGCGTTTCTAAAAGCCGCGTGCTGCTCCGAGCTCATGTGTTGCCCCTGGCGCGCGCGCTCGCTAATTGCATCCGCAGCTGCGGATGCCCCGCCGGACTCTCCTCTCCCTTCCTTCATCCCTTACCTGGATTTGTTTCCTCTTCTTTTTGTTTTAGTTAGCGACAGGTTGACCCCTCACGTAGGGAGGGGGGGCTGGGGGGATTTAGGGTCGCATCGATCCCGATGATGAAGGGGGTTCTGTCGGTCTCGAGGTTAAGCCGGGCTGCGCGCGAGCTGAAACCATCCCAAGTTAACGCCGGAAACACTGACCACAGCCACTGCCATGTTGGAATTTCAGCAGCAGCCCCCCGAACAGCTGCTTCTCTCGCTGACCAGTTCGATCCCCCCACTGCGCATGCGCTCACGCCAAGGAGCGAGGTGGGGGGAGAGAGAAAGGTGCAAAGGGGTGGGTGAACCAGCTGGTTTGTGTCCAAAACCCGAGAATAAACAAATAATCTGACTTTAACTTAAAATGTCCCTCAATTTAAAGCACGTTTCTGCGAAAAGTGATCACCTAAAGCGCTTACCTTTAATCAGAGTGACAAAAATCGCCTGGATTCTTATATTTAGCTGCGATAATTAACGGCCCGGCAATATGAAATTAGCAAATGAGGCTCTAATTAGAATGGAAATGTCCCAGTTAGTGTCTTATCAAAGCATCAGCAGGGAGATCAGGTTTGAACAAGATGTCAAAGACGGAGGAGCTGTCAGTTCATTGGTGGGAGTAACACCTCCATTAGGGCAACACGTGGGTGCTGAGAGAAAAGGAGTTGCAAATTCTAAAAGTAAGGGTGAAGAAAACAGCTAAAACTGTACAGTGAGATAAAACACACACCACCAGGCCAACTGTGTATCCATGCTGAGGTCAGCATTCATACAGGCTCACCTCTCCACGATGTCCTTGAATTACCACTGGTGGACGTTTTCCTCCTGCTTTCATCCTCCATCGTCTGTGGTTTGGTTCATACAAGCATTCAGACTTGGGCAGTGGCACTGTTTATTACAACTGTTTGACACACATAACATTTATCCACACACACACACAAATCTTACACAGATTTATTATTAATATTCTACTAAACACAGTACCAGCTAAGTGTTTTTCTCTTCTAAGGTTTCTGCTATCTTTTTGTCGAGGCAGATCTCCAGGGGTTGATTCGTCGACGTTAGCGGCTAAATTAGCCCTGTTGTTAGCCTAAGTAGAAAGTTCACGTGTGTTAGCTTGGTGACCGACACGCTAATTCACGTAGCTGGTTGCAAATGTTCATTTCATTTGATACAAGCATTTTTTTACACATTAGTCTGTGTGTGGGGCTTTGTATTTTGAAAAATCCCTTCAGGTTATTTACTTTTACAGTTATTATTCACATTACTAGAAAACAATAGTAATACTGAAGGGCACGATCTTCACAGTTCAGTAACTGTAAAAGTTAGCATAATGTGCACTTTGTTATGATTTGTCGTGTGCTTGGTTGGCCCCTCCCCCACCAGTCAGTGGGAAAGCTGACTGGGCTGTTGACCGCAGGTTTAAAGTAGCAATTACCTTTCTGTAGTATTCTTTACTATAGTATAGTAAACTTCATCTCACTAAAGCAGCAGCAAGTAATTCATGTTTCACCGGTTGCAAATAAGTTTGTGAACAAACTCAGATGGGAGAAAGGCGGAAGTGCGGAATCGAGTCACATGACTTGACTCGAGTCATTATTTTAATGGCTTTTGACATGACTTGATAAAATCTAGAAAGACTGCCAACTTGACTCGGACTTGAACACCAATGACTTGCGACTTGAATCGACTTGCATCTGTTGACTTGATGATGACTTGAACATATTTGATATTTCAGCACAAAACTGGCACGACATGGACAAAAATCATGAATAATTATTCGTTTTGGGTTTGATTTTCTGCTAAATGCAGCAGCACTTTGTTTATAATCAGTTTCAGTTGCACTTTCTGCTTGTTTGAGCAAATAAACGAAGCTTTAAGAAGCTTTATTTCTGGAATTTATTATCATCATTGTCATTAAATTGAAGTTGGACAGATGACTTGATTATGACTTGAAAATTCAAAGTGAAGGACTTGGACTTGACTTGGATTTCCACAACATTGACTTGGACTTGATTCGAGACTTGACTGGAAAGACTTGTGACCTACTTGGGACTTGCAAAGCAGTGACTTGGTCACACCTCTGGAGAAAGGATTAGTGGTGAGGTTGATAAGCTAATGGCTAGTTTGAGTGGCAATTTGGTTTGCTGCTGACTTAAAATTAATAAGTTATTTTCACAAACCTGTTATTGACAATGAATTCTGTGGCTGTTTACACATTGCAGCAGCTAGCTGTAGCACTTCTAGTTAGCCGTAATTGTTTTTAAATAGTTGACACTGATGTACTGGTTTATGAAATGTTCAGGTAAATCAACATTTTTTTAAAGTAGTGCCAATCATCCTCAAATTCAGGGGGACATTCTCAAAGGTGGCTTCTTAAAGGTTTCATTCACGATGAACATTTTCTTCAACCCCATTGCCTGCATTAACCGCAGAAAACAAAATAGATGGGACAGCATTTGCGCCAGAAATAAACTATGTAACATGTAAAATTTGTATTTGTGGCCTTGACCACCTTGGCTTGTGTAAGGTTTCTTTCATTTTTCTGCTTCTCGCATCATCCCTTTTTGCATCTTACACAGTCAGGGCTGCATCCATTTCTTCACTTAATGGGTAATTACACTTAAAACTAACACATAGTACAAAAGGCACTCATAGAGTTAGGTTTTTATTATTTTTATTTCTTTGATGACATGAAATGCACTTTTGTCGTGTCTACATTGAAGTGCCTACACTGTGCTCTCTCTCCTCTGCTGAGCTGGTGAGGATCCTGCGTCCTGGGGGTGGATCCGTGACTCGTCATCTGCATCGACTACTCCTGGGTGGTGCTCCGGCTCGTTGGCCTTGGACAACTGTGATTCCGGCATGGCTGCTGGGACACCTCATTCGTTGGGATTACTGTCAACTGCTCTTCCCTTTTTGTGGATTACGATAAGTACTCTTTCAAAGTTCAATTTTTATTTGGAATATTACCCTGCCTGCGGATACAACAATCAATTTTTAATTGGAATACTACCCTGTTCGTGGATACGTTCAAGATTTGCTCTTGCTTTGCTTTATTGCCCGTGGGGATATGACTTTGCTGTTGCTTCGTTTATGGCTTCCATGGGGAATGATTAATAACCTGCTGACTTGTGTTCTTCCTGAGGAGTATGCGAGACTGTTCTCCGGCGTGGGGTTCGTGCCTCACCACAGACGGCTGTTCCCTTGGGATTGCTTCTGGTTCGGTTGTCAAGATTCTTCATAACTTGGGTTTGTTCAACGACCAAGTGGTCTCTTGAAGGACCACATTGACCTTGAAAAGGGGGGATATGTAAGGTTATGAAGTTCATGGTTTTCAACTCCACACAGCTGCCCCCTGTGCACAACAACACCGTGTAGAAAAGCCAAGGTCGGGTGTTCCTCAGACTGTTTACATTCCAGGAGAAGAGTCCGAAGGAGAAGAAGAAGCTTTACTTAATCAAAGTACTTTATTTGTGATTAAAATTATTAAGCAAAACAGATGTTGATCAACAATAATCAAGTGAATGATCTGTGAAATAAATATGTCATGAGTTATGTTTAATGAAAACAGGACTATTACACAGACAGACTGATTCTCATCTCCATAGAAACGCATGACACATTGTTCCAACCAATCAGAGCTTTCGGCTGCCGCAGGAGAATCTGGTGTTGACTTCAAGTGTCCAATCCACTTTACTCCAACTTATCAACAATTCAGAGATATAAAACAAGGCAACGCCATTTTAAGTCAGTTCCATTTTGACTTCAGTTCTATTCACCATCATCCTAAAGAAAAGCACAGCCTGGCCAGATGTGTTTTCTTCTTTAAACTAAGAACTGTGAAGCGGGAGATTTTCGTCGTTTAACAACCAGACGACGTCCTTTCAAAATAAGAGCACCTGCTGACGCCGACGAACGGTACCGGGGTCGACCCTCCAGACGGGCTTTGAAACGTTGTGATCGCTGCACCGACAGCTCCATCGTACATCCGAGGCCTCCAGACCTGGCATTTCCTGATCTACCTGGGAGACCCCCACTGGGTACGTACACGGCAAAATAGCGGCTCATGTCATCACTTTATAAGCCTCGTGATATCTAGTCATAACAAAGACGACCAGATTCTTTGACGTCAGCCTAGAGAATCTGAACCAGACACACACACACACACACACACACACACACGCACCAACACAACATCCGAATCCATTTTCATCCATCACAGAGTTAGTCCTGGTAGATTGTTTAGAATTTATAATTAAGAAATTAAAGATTCCCAAACGATCCCAACTCTCTCTCTTTTTTTGTCTCAAAGTCAATACAGAGTGTTTAATTAAACTCCCTGATGATAAAAACTGCCTACTCTTCTGTTTATAAAAAGTGAACTACTAACAGTGTATTAAAATACAACTTTAGATAGTTACATCACTTCAGTTCCGTTACACTTGCGACCGCTGAGGGCTGTGTTGATTTAGTGGCCAGGACAGAGCAGGGTGCATCTTGGCTAATAGAAGCTAACAGTTAGCATTTCTACAACATGGCAAAACGTGTTCAGGGTTCTGCCAGTTGTGAGATAACACATGAATGTTGCATTTTTCACCAAAGAAAAGAGTGAATGAAGACAGAGGCGTTGCTTTATTATTAGCCAGTCAGCAGTGAGATATTTCCATATTTCGAATATTAAGTAGGGATGGACAATATATTGGCATCAATATCAGTATCGGCCATTGTTAGTCATTTTTTTAAAATATCGGTATCGGTCCGATAAATAAAACTGGGCCAGTATTAACAACTACTATTTTTTCCATCTCGTCTCCATTTTTTTTGCCTGTTTCAGAGGGTAAGGGGGGTGATGTGTAATTGTTTCATCATGTGAACAGGGAATGAAATCATCTGAGAACCATGAATGTGTGTGTACATAATAAATTTGGCTTTAATAGTTTTCATTTGATACAAAATTGCTGATTTTTTAAGCATTAACGTCAGTATATCGGTATCGGCAAATATCGGTTATCGGCCATAACACTGATCTTAATATTGGTATCGGCCAAAAAATTTCATATCAGTGCATCACTAATATTAACCCATTTGTGCCCAATTTTTTTCAGAGTCGTAATGCATATCATTTTATCAGTTAAGTCCCTCTGAATCATGTTACATAATTTTTTTTTTCAATTATATACTGTTTTTAGGAAGAAAATGGCATATTTATCACTGGC